AGAATTTAAAACAAAATCATAACACGACGAAAGCTAATACATCCTTTGAAAGCAAAGCTCAAATATTTGGGAAATACGGTATAAACAGGGTAAAGCTATTCCTCTAACAGGCCGTGGAGGTCCATGAGGTAGTGAGACGTCGAGGCTCTCACATTTTCTAAACAATCGGCTTAGAGATGGCGGAGAGGTTGTCAGCCTTATGCACTGGCCGCCCTTTACCCCCAGGAAGATTCCTGGTACTCATTTCTGTTAGAGGCTGAGTTGACCACAGGGTCACATGTGGCTGGAAGTAATAGATCAATTTGAAAATCCAATGACAGTAACAGGGAAATAAAAGAGTTCACTGAATTCGGGTAATGCTTGCTACCTCTCGGTTCAGAACCAAGACAGGTACCAGCGGTGGGCTTTTGTGAACACGGTAATGAACCATCGACTCCATAAAATGTAGAGAAATTCTTGAGTAGCTGAGCGACTGGTGGCTTCTCCAGTTATACCCAACTAATCTCTGACATGAGGCGGTGAGTGTACTGGAACAGACGGTCCCCCCTACCCGCATCCTATTCAACGACACTCAGGCTGATTCGGTTAAGCTTGGGTTTCCTCGGGTAGCGGTACCGTAATCAAGCGGCCGTAATATGACGGTGAATGACGTCACTAAAACGTTGCCGTGGAAACAAAGGAACATGGCAACGTTTTAGTGACGTCATTCACCGTCATATTACTGCCGCTTGATTACGGTGCCGCTACCCGAGGAAACCCAAGCTTTAGTTCGAGCGGGTTAGCATAGCGGTGACCTTCTGTAATGGTATTGAGGAGATGCTCGGTTCAGCTCTCTGTCAAGTCACCGTCTATCCGGATAGGTACTTTGTGTGTGTTTCCTGTAGACCTTCAAACCAATACCGCGCTAGTACTTCGATTAGTCTGTGACCGCTTCCTTCCTTATCCACTCCAATTTATCCTGTCGCTAGACGGTGTATATTCTGGGCTGTGAGCGCCGGTAACAAACTATTTCGGTTTTTGTGACAACAGCCTAAAGTCCATGACGAAATACGCTTTAACTTCCGTATTTAAAATATCCACTATTTAGGAACCGAGATATGTCAGCCTATATAACGATTGGGCTACTGACTGGACGACCTAGGTTCGATTCCCGACAATTTAAGAATTCTCTCTTCTCCACGTAGTCCAGACCAGTTCTAGGGCCCACCCAGCCTCCTATCCAGTGGGCACCGAAGGTTCTTTCCCCTGTGGTAAAGCGTCCGGAGCGTGAAGCTAAGTAATCTCTATGTAGTGCCGAGGTAAAGAAATATGGAGCTATACCTCCACTCCCGCATATGTCTTCATGGTATAATGCTTAAGTAATTATGCACGAGGCCAACTTTACCTTTACTTAGAGTAACTCGAATTGGTACCTGACACGAAATAAATTTCACTGGGAGCTACAGTTTGGTTTGTTTATTCGTCCATTTAGATACAGCAAATATTGAACGAAATAAAAGCTATTTCTATGTGGGTTGTGATCCCAGTAATCAGATTAGCTTTGCTACAGTGGATCCGTATTTGCACTAAACAAACATCAATTGCAACGAGGTGTGCAAAAATGCAAAAATCCAATATGCATGGACGGAAGGGGGGGGGGGTTCGGGCGCAGCTCTCTGCGGATGTTTGAACAGAGTTCATCACACGAAAAAATATTTAAACCCAGATCATTTATTTTAATGTTACACTCTTTTCTGACGGGTTCGCGAAGTTATGAGGTGGAAGAATCGATACCGGGACCCAGTCAGCAAGTAACGGTTTGATATAGGGTCTTAGATATATGCGTGGTTTACACTTCGACCCTGAAGATTGAGGAGATATATTTCTCCGAAACGTCGGTATACTTTTATAGGGGCTACATGGCTATATATCCCAGAATACTTATGACAGAAGTTCTGACAAAACATTAAGCTGTTATTCAAGAAGGATTTGAGGTTCTCACGGTAGGGACCATGAAAATTACTATCGTCTAGGTTATCCATTGCAACGTGTTTGCCCCAGTCTTTTCCTAGAAACGGCCCACATGTCACAATATTTTCTCCCTCTCCATATCTGTTTCTACCAAAATTTTTGTATGCATTTCTCATCTCCATAATGCCACACACCCCTGTCCGTGATATTCTCCTTGGTTCATTATAACAAATGTAAAAGGTAAAATTGTGAAGGCGTATGGGTGACTGGAGTTGGAGCTCCACCATTCTCGACCTCGGCATTAGATGGAGGTGAGTGTTAGGCTTCGCTCGCCGGCCGCTTTTCTCCCGAGCAAATGACCCCCAGGTACCCTTTCGATAGGAGGCTGGGTGGGCAGAATACAGAATTATGAAGCGAGATGGAAATGGACATTTCGTATGAATTGTGAGGAAGGGGAACGCCCCTATCTAAGAATAGAGACTGTATTGGCGGTAAAATCTAACATTTAGTTTTCATTTTTATATGGCATATATGGGGGCACGCGGTACCGTAGTTGGTTGAGGCACTATGCTACAAGCCGGAAGGTCCTTCCAACCGCACTATGGTCCTTGGATCGAGGCAGCCTTTAACAGAAATCAGTACCAGAAATTTTTCTGAAGGAGGCGACTAGGGGGTAAAGTGCGGCCGGCCTGAGCGTAAAGGCGCGTCCACATTACTCGTGCTCGTGTGCTCCTCGGGAGACTCGTCTGGCTTTCACTTGTGCTCGTAAATCTTCGTCCACACTACTTCAGTTGCTCGCCAGGCTTCGGCGTGTGAGGATCCGTATATTTACTCGTAGTGTGTATAGGCTGTAGTCGTATTTTAATTTATTGGCTAAAGGTTTTAAATTTAAAATTTAAAATCTGCTTGTCTCGTGACTTGTCATATCGTGCACATTACTCGCGAGCATAGCGAGTCACACGAGCACGAGCACGAGTGATGTGGACGCGCCTTAAGGCTGATGACATTTTCATCTGTGAGCCGATTTTCTAGAAAATGTGAGAGCCTCGACGTCTCACAACCCTATGGACCCCCACGGCATGTTACAGGGTTAGCTTTACTTTCTTACCCTTACCTCTACATGGCATGTTTGATGATATTTCCATTCCATAAGCGTGACGTCGAATGAAGAATAGATTTTGGTCTTCTGGGCTGAGAACTCGTGTTGCCTGATATCGGTAACCACCTACCAGACCATACGGAGCGAGTTACAGTAGCGGTAACGATATGGACTCATATGCAGGAGGTTCTTGGTTCAAATTTTGGCCGCAATACCGGATGTCCTGACTCAGAGCTTTCACGGTTTATCTCAGGTCCTACAGAAAATTCTGTGATATAGAGACCGCTTCCTTTCATGTTGTTTCCAAGTCTTCATTCGTCTAGCATTTGACGCCATATAGTGTAGTAACTGATGTTCAGAGGGCCGCGGTAGCGCAGGAGGTTGAGGCACCATGCTCCAAGCCGGAATGCCGCGGGCTCAAGTCCCGATGAGGTCATTGAATTTCTTTCAATTGACATAATCCTTCCGGCCACACTATGGCCCTGGGGTCGACTCAGCCTCTAACAGAAATGAGTACCAGGAATGTTCTTGAGGTTAATGGGCGGCTGGGTCGTAGGGCTGAAAAACTTACCGCCATCTATGAGCCAATTGTCTAGAAAATGTGGGAACCTCAACGTCTCACAACCCTATGGGCCTCCACGGCCTCTTACAGAGATACCTTTACTTACTTTACTGATGTCGTTGAATAGAACAGAAAATAAATTGTATCCTAACATCAAAATTACATACAATTATTGTTTTTTTCTGGACATATTGTCCTTTTTTTATTCGAGATATCGTTGTTTCTCTGTCTTCAGGTGGAACCTACTCATTTGGGCCCAATCGATAGAGCTAGTCCCTATCTTCGGACACCCACACAAACAAAAGATAGGATATATAAATCAAGCACAACATAAACCATCTGTGAGTGCTAAGACAAACATTAAAAATATTAAAAAACTCCACACACACACACACACACACACACAGGGCCTCACACCTATATCTTAACTGTCGCAGAAGGTTTCTGCTGTGCTTGGTTTATGTATCCTGTCTTGTTTTGGTTCGACTGACAGAGGCCTTGTGTATATTGCATATGCATTTAGCAACATATAGAACTAAAATGCAAATATATTGTACTTTCTGTCAGCTGACCTTACTGCTGACGATTATTATGACAAATGACAGACCCGCGCTGTCGTCAGAGAGGACGCCCCACAAGGACAAGACAGTAACAGTCGAACTGAATCTAATACTTGGTCATGAGCCCCAGATGGGACTTGACACCAAGACAGGCAGACTGACTGCCTGGCTGTCCGACCGTCAGTAGTAAAGTGACTTTGACTTTGGTGCTGGTGTCCAGAGATGGGGAATAGCTCTGTCGAATGGACCAAACTGAGTAAGTTCCACCTGAAGACGGAGACAGGATTCAGTCCCCGAAAAGTTGTGTGTTATTCTGTGTGTAGGTAGAGACTTTGCGACAGGCCGATCCCCGTCCAAGGACTCCTACCGACTGTGTAGGATCAAGAAACTGAAAAAGCGGCGAAGGCCCAACAAAGGGCAGTAGAGTAATAATAATGATGATGATAATAATAATAATAATAATAATAATAATAACAACAATAACAACAACAACATATTCCACATCCCATACTCATTTGACTAAGTTTGGATCCAGGGAATCGAATCTAATATAATGTAATATCCAGAAACACAATAATTTTACTGTTATACCATCACCATAAAGTTTAGTCTCAGAAGATTGCCTTTTAAAAATATCATCAACCTCGATATGGTCTGTAGCGGACTCCAAGCGTCTCAGTTTGAAGACTGCATGGTTACACGACATACATACTGCATGTGTGGGATGGATACCTTCGGAGCTCGACCTCAGTGGACAAGACCGACAAGACAAGGTAGCCCAGTGCTGTGAAAACGAAGGCCATGGCTGAGCTTCCAGGTGGAGGGGAGAGTGGCATGACCAGGCGGCCACGCGGCTCAGTTGTTGTGACGCTGTGTCTGTGGAAAGTTCGTTGTGTGCGTATGCAGTATGTGTCATAGTGGCAGTGCTTCGTTGTGGTTCCTTCAACTCATTCTGCGGTGTCTTTGTAATGTGGTTAAGCGCAACAATTATGAAAGTGACATAAGGTAATTTGTCAACCAGTTACAGAGCTATGCTTTGTGTGTTTCATTCTTTTAACCTCGTGTCACTGTACTCACATCCATGTTGACTTCAGAGTCTAGTTTAAGTTAGAGATGTGTAAAAACTTCTTCCTTCTTCAATTTATTGACCATCTGGAATGTGACGCCCTGTAGTCTGCTTCCTCCGTAACGTTGCTACAAATATGTATTTATTTCCGTCAGCACAACTTCTGTAGGATAACACTATACCTTAACTATCTACTTCATATTTCGGCCATTATCAGGTATGAACATCCATTGTTGGCTGCACTGTTCACCCCTACATTGACCAGCGTTTAAAGTGGGTATATTTTGTGTCGTTGGTATGATATAATGGGGAAAAATGCATCCATACCGTCCTCGTTAAAATGATAATTACAAAAATTGTTAAACTGTTTCGATTGTTGTTGAATTCTAACTTCCTTTTACCGTAAAGAGTTTGTTCTTTCCGTGGATATGTTTACGTTAGGTTTTTGGTTTTTAGATTTTTTTAGGTTATTTTGCTACAAGACTACACGACGTCACATTTCAGAAGACGCGATCTTACGAGTGCCTTCTATGAAACTTCTGGTTCGTAATGCGGTGAATATGAATTTTTTTTTGGGGGGGGGATCTGACGTCATGTTGTGTGATAGGTAGGTGCAATCTTTTCGGAAGAATGTGCTGCCTTCAACTTTAGGGTACAAGAGCCTCTACCTAGAAAATAGAGGCAGCAGTTTCCTCCGAAACGTTTTCACGTATCTGCCAGAGGGAGTCGCATTCCACAAGAATGTAATCTTTGTATTCCCTAGAGCCGGGATTCGAGTCTCGGTGAAGGTACCGTGTAGAGTGTTTTTGACCAAGCCTCGAAGGCGAGTTTCGGAATTAGTTCCAATCGACCGCGGTCACTCAATGTCGTGTCCGTTCCATTAAAGACATGCTCCATTTGACATAGCTAGATGGATCAAAGGCCGGTCACGGTAGGCGAGCGGTCTAAGGCATGTATTGTCTTCGCTCGCTAAGAGACCGGGATCGTGGTTTCGAATCCCACACAAGGCATGGATGTTTGGTATGTGTATGTGTTTATTCTGTTTGTTTTGTCCTGTACTTAGGTAGAGAGGCGACCGCGCCATAGCTCAAGCGGTTAGTCGCTGGCTTCCCACCGCGGCGGCCCGGGTTCCATCCCTGGCCTGGTTAAGTGGGATTTGTGGTGGACAAAGTGGCGCTGGGGCAGGTTTTCTCCGAGTACTTCGGTTTCCCCTGCCAATCTTCATTCCACCAATTGCTCCACAATCACCCTCACCTGTCATCTGGGGCTGGTACAGGCCAGAAGTGGTCGCAATACAAGGGACTTAGTCCTACCCCACTAGCAAAAAAAAAAATAGGTAGAGGCCTTGCGACGAGCTGATCACTCGTGAAGAAGAAAAAACGTGGAGCAAAATAATCTTGATAATCTAGTAGTCGTATAGCTAATTAATACATTATTTCTTTCTATATACTCCTGCCGATAATTACTGTGATATTTCAGGTCGTCAGGGCAGTGAATATGGGATTACTGCGTTCTGGGGCATGGCGCTGTGTAATCTGAAGTTTTTTTTTACCGGACTTCTATCCCTGAAGGCGGAAATATCAGATTCCTCCGAAACTATTGTATACCTCTTGCAGATTACACAGCGTTGCATCCCAAGATACTGCAACCTCAATTGGATCCTACCCTGCCATTTTGACACAGTGATGCAACCAACAGATAACATTTAATCTGAACTTAGTCTGATAGGGTTAATTTTTAGCTTGCATTTCTTATTTAAAAAATGTAATGCTTATGACATCACCTTGCTCTCTGTGTGCCCTCCCCTGACGTTTCTGGGAAACGGCTCGGCAAACGGCTTCCAGCGGCAACGAGTACACACGCAATAGTTGAAGGACAGTTGAACGCGGTGTTTTCTATGAGGTCCTTGTCGTATCAAATACTCAATATGTAATGAAAGGAAGGTGGGTGATTAGTTCTTATCCCGTGTGGAGGTGGGGTCGAATACCTCCACCTGCGAGTCTTAGGAGGCGACGAAAAGAGATGTTACGAATTTGAGACAGTAAAATATGTTCACGAGTCCCACGGGACTCGGACCCGAGAATGACTGCGCTGGCGAGGTCCAGCAGCAATTGTAAACGACAGACCCGTCCTCTCGTCAGAGAGAGCGCCCCATATCAATAATCCCGCAACTGTCTGACAATAATAAAAACCGGGTCGTAAGCCCCAGATGGGTGCTTTACTCCAAGACAGACTGACCGACTGACCGTCGGTCGTAACAAAAGACTCGACTCGACTCGATTAGTTCTTCCCACCGCTTCTTGTTCCATTATATTTTTGTGTTAAAATGATGTGTGAAGTCACCATCTCATTATATCTGATTTATTTTGTTTTGATGTTTAAATACTAATTGTTGTACTGGACACTTGGCGCATCTCACTGCCCCGTATCAGAGCACTGACACAAAAGCAACAAAGCGTGTCGAATCAGTTAAGATTGACGTCAGCGAACTTTAACGTATTATTTTTAACTTTCATGAAACATTTATGAATTGGACATTCCACATCATTTATTCATGCGTACAAATTGTAAAGTTTCCTTTAATATATGGTTTCCACCTCGAAGATGGACATCTAGGATGGAAACATGTCGAGGTTTTAATCATCAAGAGAGAATAATTTAAAAATATTCGGATGATAAGTTCACAACTTATTTTATTCATAGTTCTGTCTGTCAGAGCAGGTGATTGGAGGCACATAGGCTGTATCGTCCTGTCAAGTGCGCCAGTTTTGATAATTTTATTTTAACCCTTTCACGTATAAACTTTGTAAACATTTGTCATGTGTATGGTTTAGCAGCTTGTTCTGTTTATATATATATATATATACAGGGTGTCCCAGGACTCATAATAGCATCAGCGTCTTGTAGTAATGATGTGAGTCCAGAGGTCCTGACACCGGCGGTTATAACGAGTTCTATCTTCCAGGATATACAGCCGTGTAGTCCGTTGATAGTGGACCACCTTCTCGGAGGAACACGTCTTAATATTAATAGCGTTTTTATTTTTACCCGTTATATGTTTCGACCCTATTTCTGGCTCAACTTCAGGTAGTATAAACATGCCGTACATTCTAATAGAATATAGGTCCCTCGTTCATATGTAATATCCAGTTTGTCTGTTATTTGTCAAATAGTGGGACATGTAAGTATATATATATATATATATATNATTAAATAATTTTCCTGGGGAGTAAAGCGCGGCCGGCGCGTAAGGCTGACAACCTTACCGCCAACTTTGAGCCGATTGTCCAGATAATGTGGGAGTCTCAACGTCTCACAACCCTATGGGCCTCCACGGCCTGTTACAGGAATAGCTTTAGTTTACTTTATATATATATGTATTGTCACGTCACAATATATATCGACCGAGAGGACGATTACCGAATAACGAATTGAAAAATACTTAATTTGAGGTACTTTTCCCTCAGTGTGTCTCGAGAAACCGAGGAAGGTCACAGAAATCTAAGAATATAATCAGCGTTTTGGTTGAGACTCGAAACCATCACCTCCCTAATACAAGGCAGAAGCCATATTATTCGAGCCACCTATTCGTAACCCCTGTTAAACGCCACTAGTTGATACAGAAATGCACAGTTCCGACTATAGTCGCCATTCTGTTGTGTTTTCGGGTGCAGAAACACGGGGTGACGCTCAGGTGCTGAATGGAACGCATCCTGATGATGCTTCATAAAAGCCTTTTCATGTTCTGACAGGAGCGAAACTAAAGCCTGTCATGAGCGCATTCTGGTGTCAGTGTTTGGATGCAAAGTATGGAAACAATTTGCACAAGCCTTCCACGAACAAAGACCATTGATGTTCGTTTGTTGCACTTTACCATACTTCGCACGGCAGACCCCAAGACAAAGGGCTAAATCAGCTGTCTGCGATGTTAACAGCTTCCTGCAATGGGCTGCAACAGCAAAGAATATTTTCGTACGTGGGTGTCCGTTAAACTACGGTATAATAGTAATACGTGGGATTTGATAGGAGCCTGGTTAATGTTGTCAGTATAACGACTGGCTACGGGCTGGATAACCAGAGTTCAGTTCCTGGCTGCAGCAACAGCTCTTCCTCTTATCCATAGATTCCAGACCGGTTCTGGGGACCAGTGGGCACCTCAGTATACCTCTTACGGCCTCCAAGAATTATCCGCTCATTTTTATCAGTGCTAAGTAAGTATTATAATCGATGCTAACTATCTAACTTCATGGAGCTGAGCCCTTCTCCAGAAGCTGCCAGTTGTGCAGCCACTCAAGAATTTCTCAACATTTTATGGAACCCAAAGGTTCATTAAGTTCATTTCCATGTTCGCGGTAGCGTAGTTGGTTGAGGGGCTATGCTACAAGCCGGAAGGTCGCAGGTTCAAGTCCCGATGAGGTCATTGGATTTTTTTCTATTGACCTAATCCTTCCAGCCGTCCTATGGCCCTGGGGTCGACTCAGCCTCTAACCGAAGTGAGTACCAGGAATTAATTAAATAATTTTCCTGGGGAGTAAAGCGCGGCCGCCATCTTTGAGTCGATTGTCTAGATAATATGGGAGCCTCAACGTCTCACAACCCTATGGGTCTTCACGGCCTGGTACAGGGATAGCTTTACTTTTTACTTTTACTTTTACCGTGTTCACAAGAGCTCTCCACTGGTCCCTATCCTGGTTCTTCGCCTGCGGATTTTCTTCTTTTTTTCTTCTACCATGAAGATGAGGCGATACGTTCCTCCGAAACGTCGGTTAACAGAATATCTGAACGGCGCCACATCCCAGAAGACTGCTTTCTTCAATAAGTTACCTGTTCGTCTAAGTAGCATGCAGACTCCCAACTTGCAGTGTTCTTGCCGAACCGAACGATAATCATGGAGGTTGTGGCCCAGGATTGGATCCATCAGATCTGGTTGAGTTGTTGG